TTCCCTTTATTCTTCCCTTTTTCCTTTTTTTCTTCTCTTTTCCCTTCACCTTCTCCCCTTTTCCCTTCACCTTCTCCCCCTTTTTTCCCCTTCATCTTCTCCCCTTTTTCCTTTTTTTTCTCCCTTCCCCTTCTCCCTTTTCCCTTCCCTTCTCCCTTTCCCCTCCCCTTCTCCCTTTCCCTCCCCTTCTCCCTGTTTCCCTCCCTCTGCAGAAAGTGGAGCCTTTCAGCGTTCCCTCGAAAAAAGTGGAGCTCCCGGCCAAGAAATCGGAGCCGGCGGCGGCGGCCGAGGAGGACGACGACGACGACATCGACCTTTTCGGGAGCGACGACGAGCAGGAAGACCAGGAAGCGGCCAAAGTTCGGGAAGAGCGGCTCCGGCAGTACGCGGAAAAGAAGGCCAAGAAACCGGGAATCGTCGCCAAGTCCTCCATCCTCCTGGATGTGAAGCCGGTGAGCGACGGGAATTTGGGAGCTCCGGAGCGAGGTTGGGAATCCTCTCCCTTCCTTCTCCTCCGAGAGGAAGTGCGGAATTCCAAACCTTGGAGCCGAGCGGGATGTTCCTGCCGAGATGTGGAATCCTGGGATGGTTTGGGGTGGGAAGGGATCTTAAGGATCGTGGAATTCCAACATCTCCCACTAGCCCAGGATGCTCCAACCCGGCCTTGGACACTTCCAGGGATGGGGCAGCCACAGCTTCTCTGGGAATTCCATCCCAGTCCCTCACCACCTTCCCAGGGAAGAATTCCTTCCCAATATCCCATTCCTTCCAGTATCCCATTCCTTCCCAATATCCGCTTCCTTCCCAGTATCCCATTCCTTTCAGTATCCCATTCCTTCCCAGTATCCCATTCCTTCCAGTATCCCATTCCTTCCCAATATCCCCTTCCTTGCCAATATCCCCTTCCTTCCCAATATCCCATTCCTTCCCAATATCCCATCCCTTCCCAATATCCCATTCCTTCCAGTATCCAATTCCTTCCCAATATCCAATTCCTTCCCAGTATCCCATTCCTTCCAGTATCCCATACTTCCCAGTATCCCCTTCCTTCCCAGTATCCCCTTCCTTCCCAATATCCCATTCCTTCCCAGTATCCCCTTCCTTCCCAA